TTCTACGGTGAACATAGCTACAAAACTCAGCTCCTTTAGCTTTCTGCGTATGGTACCTTTATATTTCTAAGAGTTCTGCCTGTCGCTAACCCTAGAGGCAAAGAAGCCACCATTCTATCCCTCCTTATCCACTTAACCCCTACGCCTCCCTCCCTCCTTTTCACAGATCAACACCAGACCCAAATGGTCGGGTGCGGCAAGCTGGGGTGGAAAGCTACAGCTAGACTAACTTCATCTGGACCCTGCAGTCACACACTGAGAGTTCCCTGTGTGTTTTTATCTATTCTGCTTTGAAATGGGAGGAGATAAGGAAATTTTAGTGTGCAGTTGCAGTGTCCAGATGGCCAGTTAGTGCACAGCACGTTAGTGTGCTGTAACTTTACACCCCATTACCTGTTGGTCTAGCCATGTCACTAACTGTTGGTCTAGACAAGGTGTCAGTTACAACAAAGCCCGTTGCTAACTCTGTCCACATATCTATTCAAGGGACACCATCATCGGACCTAATCACATCAGTCACACCATCAGGGGCTCGTTCACCTGCACATCTACCAACGTGATATATGCCGTCATGGGCCAGCAATGCCCCTCTGCCATGTACATTGGCCAAACCGGACAGTCTCTACGCAAAAGAATAAATGGACACAAATCAGACGTCAAGAATTATAACATTCAAAAACCAGTCGGAGAACACTTCAGCCTCCCTGGTCACTCAATTACAGACCTAAAAGTCGCAATACTCCAACAAAAAGCTTCAAAAACAGACTCCAACAAGAAACTGCTGAATTGGAATTAATTGGACACCATTAAATTAGGCTTGAATAAAGACTGGGAGTGGATGGGTCATTACACAAAGTAAAACTATTTCCCCATGCTATTTTTTTCCCCTACTGTTACTCACACCTTCTTGTCAACTGTTGGAAATGGGCCATCCTGATTATCACTACAAAAGTTTTTTTTCTCCTGCTGATAATAGCCCACCTTAATTGATTACTGTCGTTATAGCTGGTATGGCAACACCCATTTTTTCATGTTCTCTGTGTATATATATCTTCCTACTGTATTTGCCATTGCATGCATCTGATGAAGTGGGTTTTAGCCCACGAAAGCTTATGCCCAATTAAATTTTTAGTCTCTATGGTGCCACAAGTACTCCTCGTTCTTTTTGCTGATACAGACTAATACGGCTACCACTCTGAAACCAGTTACACCTCTGTGACCTTCTTGGCTTGAATTGATTTGCACTGTGGTAACTGACTAGAACTTAGTAAGCAACTTTGGATGAAGCACTTAGGTACCACGATGGAGGGCGTAATTTTAGAATAGAACGAATAGGACAGCATATCATGGCCTTAGCTGTGTTGACTCTGCAGGGTTAATGGGAGTTGTGACGCTGGTAAACCACGTGCCAGCTCTGGCCAAGGCAGTGGGTGTTAGCTAAGAACTGTCAGCCTCATAGTTGGAAACCAAACCGGCTCACCTGTATGTTAGTTTTGTTCAAAAGAGGTATTAGTCTTATAAAAATGCATTTAGTGTTTAGACTCTATGAAATGCTTGTAAATTGCTACATGCATTAATCTCACTTGTAATGTCTGTATTCCAAGCTACAAGGTAAAATAAAAGTTTCTTTTATAACTATAAAAATGCCTGCTCTGAGCTTGTGAACTCAGATGAAGAGATTGGCACCCCCGACCCATCCAGGAGGACTATCAAAAATTAAGTGGACCATCACAGGGCAAAAGCTTTGTTAAGTGCCCCATCCACCCATGGAGAAGTATGTGCAGAAGGCCTCATCCCATCCGTTTGAATGCTGGAAGAGGGAGATAAAAATAGCAAACATGAAGATTTCTCATCTCTTTGCTGTTTGGACTCTCGCAAGGGCTGGAGCTAAGAAACAAAAAGCAGAGATCCCCAGGGTCGCCCTGGGTTAAACCCTAAAAAGACATTCAGTGCAGACAGATTACTACATATCTGTCACATTTTGAATCACGGACTGAAACTCGTTTGTGTATATATGCTTGCTTGCTTTAACCTGTAAATAGCTCTCCTATTTCCCCCCTAGTTAATATACCTTTAGTTAGTTTATTACAGGATTGGCTACAGGTGTTGTCTTTGGTGTGAGAGCTAAGGTGCAAATTGATCTGGGGTAAGTGACTGGTCTCTTGGGACTGGAAGCAACTTGCATACTTTGTGATTTTTCGTGTAAGTGTCCATTTATCATTAAGTCTAGCTTGCCTGGGTGGCAAAATAGAAGAGTCTAAGGGGATTGTCTGTGATTCCATGGTAAGACTGTTCCAGTGATCTAAGAGTTCACATTTGTTACTGGGTTGGTGAATTCTAATTATAGAACACACCACCATTTTGGGGTGTCTGTACTCCTTTGACAGTCTGCCCTGAGGTTGGCAGTCTTGGTCGTGAGCCACTCAGATAGTGTGACGGGAGGAAAAAGGGCTAAAAGCTTATTTTAGGAGCACTAGCGCTAAATAACAATAATAATAATATCTGGCTATAGCACTTTCCATCCACAGATCTCAAAGTACTTTACAAAGGAAGGTGAGTATTATTATGCCCATTTTATGGATGGGGAGACAAAGACACACATGGGGAGCCAATATGTTGGCCAATTTGGTGCCAGTTTTCACATTGCACAGCACAGCTTCTCTTTACAAATAAAGACATCAGGCCAGATCCTCCACTGCTGTAAATGAACCCAATGATTTCAAAGGAGCATCCCCCATTTACACCAGTGGAGGATCATGCTCGTTGTCTGAATATAAGGACTTCTTATTCGTTTGAAAAGAGATGCACAACATTACATGATTCCCAGGGGCCAGAGCCAAATTTTGAGGGTCTTTCCTAATTTTTTACTCAGTCCTTAGTCAAGAAAACTCCCACTGAAATCAATAGGAACTTTGTCGCAGTAAGGACTGAGTAAAATCTAAGACCTTAGGCTTTGGCCCTCTGACAGTGTTTCTTTACTATTGTATCTAGCTAGGCCATCTGTGTTATTAGCTGCCAGTATTCCTAAGGGATATTCATAGTCAGCAGGGCCAGAAAAGCCCAGTTACCTCCTGCCCTCCTTATATATGCCGGGACTGCGTCATTCTCACTGACATCTCAGCCATTCCTGAATGTCCACCACATGTGTCTCACATGCTTCTCCTGAGAGTCTATTTCATCACCCAGGTGTGCAAAAACGTTAGTGTAGCCTGGACTTTTCCTTCCTTAGCTACAGGCCATTTCTCCTTGCCCTGTTGCCTTCTCAGACTAATTCCCTTCCTTGACTTATATTATTACCTTGAAGGTTTTTATAGGTTGGGACCATATCCCTCCTGAGCCTTCCCTTTTCTCGTCTGTATACATTGCTCTCCCTCGCTCTCAGTCTCATCCCACAGAGTGTATCTTTCCCTCCATTTCATATTGCATTCCAAAAATACTTTCCTCTGAGTTAGCATACCTTTCCT